TGCCCATCTTTATTCAAATCTCCTTGAGTAACAAGTTTCATTCTGGTTGTTTCCTTCAATAGCTCTATTTTACTGTGAGAACTTTTATCTGTTATTGTTTTCTTTCCTCTCCCTCACCCCCACACTTGATTTTAGATTTGCTTAGGTGTGACATTATTATTTACTTATTTATTCATGGGGATAGAAAGTATAGCCTTCATGAATTAGCCAGAACATGCAGTGAGAATGGACACACTTATGCTTAGCAGAGTTGTCCTTCCCTGTGGAGGTCCCAACATGCAGTGAGAATGGACACATGCAGTGAGAATGGACCTTCCCTGTGGAGGTCCCAAGTTTTCTACAAACCAAGCTTTCTCTGGGATCTGCAGAAAATAAATTAAAGGTTGGAAAACCATAAGAGAATGCTTAGAACATTACTAGCAACTTACATAGCAGAAGGAAAAAGTTGGATTGGTCCCTGCTTGGGGAAACCAGCATATTAACAGGGGAAATTGAGTCCAGGTTAAGATGGAGTTGAAAGTGTATAAGCATGAACATGAAATAAAATATTTGGGAATGAGAGGAGAAGGGACAGAAGATAGAGTTCATTTATACTGTGATTTTGAGTAGAGTTCTAAATTTCTTGAAAAAAAATTATTTATTTGCTTAAAAAACGCCTATGGGAGGAGATCTTGAGGGAACAATCATGTTCCCAAAGTAAAACTTTTCTCAATATGCCCAAAGTAGACCTCTAGTAAGTGTTATCTTGATATGGAAACTGAAGGTCAGTGCAGACCCTATAAGCCTAGCAAGTCTATTACTATGACTTGAAGAATCCAGTGAAGGTGCTGGAGACTAAGAGAAACTTGTTCTTGTCTCAGTTGATTGCCCTTTTCTTATCCTTTTTATGATCAAGAACACTGTAGCTATTGGGGTGTCACCCAGATGTAGAGATATCAGTGGCTATCTCCTCCCTCTTTGGGAAAGTAAACTTTTACACGGCATGAGGCTATGCTCTCCTCATGTCAAGATTCCCGCTCTCTCTCTCTAACACTTCAGGTCTTTAAAAGCAGAATAAATATTCCATTTTAGGTTCTCTACAGTCATGTAATTTTTCCATACATATGCTATTAAACATTGGGCTTTTCCTAATCTGTCTGATGGTAATGTGTTCATTTGTCCAGTCTTAAAAGAACCCTGTATGGTGGTGGGGTTTCTTCCTGGTGTTGCAAGGAGGGATAAACATGACAATTCCAGAATGTAAAGGAAGTACCAAAGAACTAACACGTCTGTAAAGAGCTCTTGCTAATTATAATGAAAAGTGCTTCTGAATGGCATAGGCAGTAAACCCAGAATAGGAAAAAGAGGACAGCCAACATTCCTTGCTGTTCTCATCAACCACAGTGAGAACTGGAAACTTGAGAGACAATGAAGAGCATCATAAAGTGTGGATAAATTGAAGGGAATATTGACTGTTGAAAATAGCAATAATAATGATTATAAAAAGTAATCTGTAAAAATAAAATACCTGATACAAATGACAAAAGGGTGGGCGAGGAAAGAAAGTATAAAGAAAATGCAGTAAGCCTTTTACATACTTTGGAAAGTATGAATTCAAGGCAACATGTAATAAATCAAGGATGCATAAATAATCTTAAAGGTAATTGAGGGCCTCCCTGGTGGCCTAGGGGTTAAGTTTTAGCACTATCATCACTGCTAAGGCTCAAATTCCATCCCTGGCCAAGGAGCTGACCCACATATGGCACAGCAGACCTCTCCTGTCTTGCCCACAGCTATTCTCAGCAGTGTATTTCAGTAGATATGCATGTTCTGCTCCCTACTCTGTCTCTGGTGAATCCTTCTACCTGCCCCCCCCACCTCTGGCCTGCATTGCAGTTGTTCTATGTATAAGTAAATAAATAAATCTTAAAAAAATTGAAATATACTATAAGAAGATAGAACCATAAAGCAAATATAGGTGATAAAGAGGCCCAAAGTACAAACAATACAACATACAAAGAAAACATCATGGTATGTTCATGAAATATTTTACAGCAAAGAATATGAGCTATTATTACATGCCTCAGCATGGATGAACACTCAATATGAAAGCAGGTAAGTTGATTATAAATATCTACTGGCCAGGTATTTGGAAGTTGCCAGAACAAAGTGAATTTCCTGTATTCTAAACAAATGACATAATTCAAAAAAGACTACCTTAGAAAAGACAGATTTCGTCAGTCTGTTTTTCCAACATTCAGGTTTGGAATGTTGGATTCTGGTATTCGGAATCAGAAAGAAGGAATTCATTTCCACCTCCTTCAACTCCCAACA